AAAAGAATTTTGATACAAGTTCATAGTACATGAATTTATATATTTTGATATTGTCATGTTGTTCAAATAAGAAAAAGAGAAAAACACGAATAAAATTCGAACGTTTCAAAAAGAACGCTATTAATTAATAAGATCGATCATCAAAATTTCTGATAAGACACTCAACTTCAACTAATCCATTTTCGAGTAGAACGAAACAAGAAAATGAAAGATCAAACAAACATAAGATAGGTCTCTATGCCCACAGATTCAGTTCTTAGTGTCAATCTTTTCGTAGAATATTGAAAAATGTAACGACAAAGAAATCCCACCAAGAGGATGGTTGGCCATAGAATATCTCAAGCTTAGCTTCTGACAAAGGCTTTAGATATCTTAGCTTTCTATATATACATATATATGTCAAATTGAAGGAAAAGAATTTTGATACAAGTTCATAGTATATGAAGTTATATATTTTGATATTGACATGTTGTTGGGATACTTTATGAATTCTAATACTCATCATTGTAATGCACACTTTGACCAATAAAGTAGTGGACATACAGCAAGGCCCAAACCCAAAGAGTTTGTTGTTCTTGTCCTTTGTGGGGTTATTTTATGTGCATGAGGATATGCAAGTAGCAAGTTTTAATATTTATGGGGGAAAAAGGCATTGAGGCCACTTGTGGTTTTAATACTACTCTTGACCGTACCATTCATAAATGTTTGAAAAATATCTAAACGACATGGTAATTAACCTACGTAGTTGTTTATCCCTTTGCAATAAAAGTTCAAATTCTCGACTTTGACGTCATTGTCTACTCAATTTTATTCTTATTGGAGAGTGATAACTTCTTACGTATTTTCTTTACTTTATTCTCAGATTTAATCAAAGCAGCTTCGCATTAATTGTCTATCACGCCAACTTTTCATTAAAAACATTTTCTTGTATATCAACATTAAGGATGTTGCTCAAATGATATTTTTGAAAAATTTATGAAAGGTAAATGATAATATTGAAACTTTTGAAAGGATACAAAATATTTCTTAAACAAATGGTAAAGTTAAAGGTTTTTTTTTTTTTTACTTCTAAAAAAAGTTTTTTTTTTTGTAATGTACCATAATCTATATAATTAGAGATTTTAAGCAATATATATAGAAATAGGAAAATAACCAACTTGAATATAGCTCAATTAATTAAGGTAGATATATCTATTTTCACTCCCACGTATTATGGTGTACTTAATTAAAAAAAAGTACTAAAAAGAGACTTAGTTGACTCCTTGAAAAGAAGAAAGAAGAATTATGAGAAAATTATGAGAATAATGGGATGTAAAAATAACTTAAATGGCTTCTCTTTTGCAGTTTGAAATGATGGAATTATATGCATTTTTTTTTATTTCATCATCTCTCACCAAACTCGAGCTGTATTTGATTTTGTTTTTAGGCTAATTAATTAATTAATGTTATTATTATTATTTTTCAAAGGGGTTTTAAGCTAATTTAATGCAAGATGGGTTTACAAACAACCCCAACTAATTCATATTTTATTCAAATTATTCAGCACACTTGGACCCTTCTTCTTCACCTTCACTAGTTGAAGTGTTCATATTCCATTTGAATCTTCTTTCTTCCTTTCTATTTCTTTTATTATTATTATTATTTTTTGAAGTATAGATCATGTAAGATGATAATCATGAAAAGAAGAAAATTCATTTTAAATGATTGTCAAAATGGAATGGCATGTCTATAACCATTAGATGCGTAGTTTAAAAAATATTTTTTTTTCTAGTTGTCACATCTAACAATTGATTTGACAAAATAATAATAATAATAATAATAATAATAGTAGTAGTAGTAGTTTTCTTTTTTTTACTTGTAAATATTTGATATTGGTATGAATAGGAAAAATATTCTCTCCTACATTTTTTTTAAATAATCAAATATTCATTAAATGTTAATTATTAATAAGTATATCTTTTTAAATTTATTTTTAAGAATGTATTTGTAAATTTATGATGAACATTGTTTTTCTGTTGAATATTTAATKAATGATCAATATTTTGTTTATATTCCCTCTGCAAAATCTTAGAGGAATGAGAAAGCAAGATGGGTGAATATAGGAGGTAAATGCGGTGAAATTTTCGTATTGTAATACTTAAATAGAAATGGATCAATGATTACCAATTCAATTTTGATTTTAGTTTTTTTTTTTCGATTTTTTATATTGAACTTGATTAGAATTAGCTTCATTGTTTTTGTTTTCAATTTTTAGATATCACTTGTAGAAACAATCAAATTTCAGAAGAAATAAATTAATTTATGAAAATTGTCGTTTTCTTTGTTTTTAAATTTAGGATACTTATTATTAAATGGTTTTTAAGAATATATAAATGATAAGTAAATTAGTTTACATTTTAAGAACAAGAAATAGTAATTCTTCCCAAAGGAATGCTCCATTAGTACTTGCATTTAATTAGTAATCATAGATTTAAATCTTATTTTGCTCCTATTTTTTGTATTTATTTTATTTTGGTACATGAATGATGAAATGATCTAGAATTTTATATCAAAAATTTATTTAATCCTAATTATTAAATTTTCATGAATTATTTAGCAAAAACTTAGAGTGGCGTGCGAGTGGATAAATACCTGAATAAGTATTTAAAGCCACATATGGGGTCAGATATCTAATTTTATCTAATTTTGAAATAGATTTAAATATTTGTTAAAAATTAAAATTATTGAAGAAAATTTAATGGCAGGGACTAATAAAATATTTTGTAAAACAAAGCACTTGAAAATCTAGTAGCCAAAAAAATATCTTTGAAAGTTTAAGCATCAACGTAAAAATTAGTTCAAGGAGGTAAGGAGCAAGTCAAAGCGAACATAGCTCAAGATAATTGKCATATATCTCCAACCAAGAAGTTGTGAGTTCGACTCCCACCCTCACATATTGTACTAAAAAAAGAAAAAACTTATAGGAACCAAAATAGGATATAAACCAAAAATATATCATACTTTCACTATCCTAGAATCAAATAATGTTGATATTGTTAAAAATCATGTTTTACCCCTATACTTGCAGAGTCAAATTTTATTGAATATTTTTCTCGTGGAAAATTGAACCATGAACCTAAATAAAGGTTGAAATTAAGACTATATTAACTGTGTTATGGTTTTTCAAAATGTATTGCTAAGTAGGAGTATTCCAATGGTGGCGAATTGAAGAGTGAAAACACCACTATAGCATAGCCATTACCCAATGAGCTCATCTGTTCAGAACTTAGTTGACTGCTTTGATAGGATGGAAAAATGAGTTTTCCCGAAAAATATAGTAACACTTCACTCTCAAAATTCTCATGGGTTTCACCAATTCCAAAGTTGTCATTCTTGACAGAACCCACAAGTGGCTTTCTAAAGCTTTATCCCCTTATTTATTTCCTCCTTAATTTACAGTAAATCTACACTACAACATCATCTCTCCAGGAGTTATCTTACACGCCCATTTACAAGAACCAAGATTTCATGGTTCCAGAAGGGGGCCAAAGAAAAAAACTAAAAAAGTGTGTTATATATTTTATATTTGTACATAACTTATTACTTTCATTCGGTTAGTTTAGACAACAAAAAGAGGCTACCAGAGGAAAGGAATACTGAAACAGCCAAGCAAAGCAAATCACCTGGAGATTGTATGACCACCTTCTTTGTCTTCTCAAAGAACCCGATTAGAAGCAGCATCACTATGACGTGCCCGAGTTTCGTTTTCAGTTCGTTGACGGTTTTGATGTACAACCATTTCGGTCGTTCCTACGGAAATACACCAATGTGAAACTGTGATGAGACCATTTAACATAAATGAAAATTACTTAACTAATGATCTCTGTTTTATAGAGAGTTCATTATCATTTGGAATCTAGTATCTACCACTCAAAACTTGATACTGTAAAATAAAAGAGAAACTGGGTATATGATTACCAAAACCAGTTTAAGACTTAAGCAAGCATAATAAGATCAATTATGATCCAAACATCCAACAACAACTCAGTGGTATTTGCTCGTTAACCAGCAGGTAACAGGCGCAAAATTGACTAACCTTTAAAGTCTTGTTATTAACAACCACATTATTATTCAGAAAATACTTGGTGACTGGTCAGGACGATGACCAACATTGAAAAGTTAACGGCAAATAAAATTTATAGCTTTTGCATTTCTGCCTCTTAGTTATCAAATATTCAATGTTGATCACAAATAGTATTTTCCTTATTATTTAGCTCATTAACGAGTTGAGAAACTGTATCACGATTACCCAGCGTAAAATCAACTCACCTTCAAAGTGAATAGGCCAAATAAGTTAGATCTATGCTCAGCGTTTTTCATTGATGGCGATTGTGCAGTTCCGAGATGGCTTATAAACAGCTCATAGAGACCCGTGCCGAAGACCAGCATCACAGTCCCCAAGAGATACACATCTGCATACCATTTGAAGCAAGAAATAAATGACCTCAAAAATTGAAATACAATAATCAAGTCTAGCCGTGCCATTCACATATCTGCAGATCAAATCTGTACAATTGCAGACTGATTATAAATGATGTAGATGTTTTATGTATCTTTTATATACAAGTTATCAAGAAATGAAAGAAAATATATGCATTATCCCAAGAGACAGAAAGATTTAAAGGCTGATTATTACAACTAGCATGCACAAAGTTTTGTTCTCTATTCCAACATCCATCTTCATGACTACTACATCAGAAGAGAATACAACAATGTTAATCAAACAACAAATTGAACTGAGTGAAGAACTGAATCAGAATCCTAAACAATAATTTCAAAGGGTTCAACTTCCTTTACAAGTATTGTTCCTAAATCGTTACAACTCAAGTTCCCCATGGACTAAAGCTGCCCCGTCACACTATTATATGTTTCCCCTTCTCCAGAAATCCTTACACTACTTTTGCTTCTTTACAATTTCACTCTCATCTCAATCTTTTGACCCTTCATAGCTTCATTCTTGGTGTAACCCAATCTCAATTCTTGCTTGTTTATGTATCATAAACATTAGAAGAACGAACTAATCATCATGGAAGAATGAAGCTGATTTATTTGCATTTGTTGGCAGAATTGTGATACTTATTGTTTGGCGTGTGATATATTTTAAATCCAGATGACTATGATATACTGTTAAATAGTCATTTATAATATGTTATTATTACTAAGTTATGGTGTTTTGGTGTTCAAAGTTACATCCTGAAACATGGACGGTTGGAAGTCACATCTACTTTTATTTAGGATCAACTGCAGACCAATAAAAATAAAATGAAACGGTACCAGTTTCACATTACTTGATGGAGCTATTTTCTTCAACATAATTGGTTCAATTCAGTGAGTCCAGTGGTACAAGTGGCTACCTTGGTTTCTTAATAAAAATAAGTCAACTTAGAAGCAGACATAACACTAAAACACTACTAATACTCCAAAAATGTTACAAAAACTCCTATGAATATAGAAAATGTGTATGAACTTCCACAGATCATTTGTGCATATACTCATTCTAAACGTGACATTGTATCAAACTTATTTTCTATAAAGAGGCAAACCAATTTTTTATAATAAAATTATGAACGTAGAACACAAATTTGAAAAATAGAAAATAAAGACAGAGACATTAATGTAAGAGTACTTCACAGTGAGTACCTATGGCTTCAACTAGCAACATTATCACTTTTCCACGATTTACAAAATATTCTGAGAAAGATGCTGCCACATGAACGCACCCCTGAATTTCAGTCACGAATCACAAAATTAGAACTATCAAGAAAGGCAAAACACACATCATATATTTAATGGAAGCCAAAATTAATGGACCATCAATCAGCTTATGGTCCTCATGGTTATTCAAGAGTACCAATCTACAAGAACATAAAGGTGCGTGTACACAATATATTCTTCAACCAAGACTCAGGATTATAAAAAAGTTTGAAATTATTAAGGGATGAATACTTGCACAAACATCTATTCTGGAGATTAAATTACATCATAGACATCTATCCTAAAAAATTTCAGTTCGCAAGTTTCCAACATTTCTAAATCCTAAAATTTTTGTCCTCAGCAACATTATTAATCAAGGATTTTCATGTATATCTTTTGTAAGTGAGACCACCCATGCATCTTACAATAACTAAAAATTGCTTTCATACACAAGTATACCCAAAACAAATTACCTGTAAATCATTCATAAAAAATCCTTACTCGAAATTGGGAATTATTAAGGGATTACGTTAAATAGAATGGACTAAGAAGTATAAATTTAAAGCACTGATAGAACAAACCAACGTTTTAAAAATATGTGGTTTGGTAAAACAAAGAGTTATTGAAATAATGAAATCTTGACCAACTAACCACATATCCAGAATTTTTACCATTGATTACAGAAGTATTTTAAACGATGAGAAGGAAAGTGAGAAAAGAAGGATACTTTCTGGTGTCGACAATTTTGTTGGAAATAGATTCACAAATTTCGATTGGTCTAGGCTAGCTGCATCCTTAGTTCACTGCTCTTAAATAGAATTTCAAGGAACTCAGATCAAAAATTTCAATTAAATCGTATTCTTAGAATGAAGATAGTGTCATAAGCAAAGTAAACAGAATGAAAATCTCATAACACATACAAATGAAACACAAATCCTGGCCTACGACAATAGAATAAAGCGATAGGAAGCTGGAAACTAATCGCCATACCTTGACAAAACAGAGTACAGACCCAATCAAAGACCCTAAGACGCCCAAAAACGCCATGAATCGGCATCGATAAATGGCCTGAAATCACATAAAGATACATTTGTCACACTACAAAAGCTACTAAGGAAATAACAAGCATACAGAAATTAGAGATTACCCAACCTTTTCCAGGCCCTCCTCTATGGTTTCCAACTTTTCCAGTGCCGAAGTCCGGGGCGCAGCGCTGAAATCGGATTGGATTAAAGGAGCAGAAGCAGCCGGAACTTGAGGCCCTGAGCTGGTACTTGCACAAGCAGGAAATCTACGGCTACAACCACCAACAAGATCGGTCGTATACCCAAAAAACCTACTGAATTTTGGATTGGATTGCTGGTAGTGGTAGGCTTGGACGATGATCGTGGAAGGTCGGACGGTGGTCGTTAGAGTTCTGATAGGGCCAGTAATCAACGGTGGAGATGGTTGCATGGTGGCAGCCGGAGATGGAAGGGGAGAGAAAGGATTTTAACATCAAAGAAAATTGCCGTACGGCGGCGCCAGCCAGTGAGCTCCGAGGAAGTGGCAGTTGAAGATAGTTACGGCTTAAGAGATAGGGGCTGAAGTTATGGGCCTCCTTTAAAGTTGGAGGCTCCATGATTCAGTTTGTTCTCTGTTTCATTACGGCACGTAGCACACGTTGATATTCCCCGCGATGAGGAAAGGGATTTTCTTTTTTTCTTTTTTTTTTTTTTCCGGTACGAGGGAATTTTTATGCCTATATGAATTCTGTATCGATTTTGTAAGAGAAAAAACTTCTACTCGAAACACGAGTAATTTACTGGTCAATACTATTAAATATTTTAGAATTCATTATTTTTTATTTCTTTTTAATTTTACATTTTTTGTCATATATTTACTGTGTTAAGGAGAAAATTTATTTTAATTTTAAGGAGCGAAATTTTTTCTATTTGTGAGGATAGAATTTATTAAAACCATTTTTTTTAAAGTATTTTGAGATTTTGAATTTGAAATTTTAAAAAGTAGAATTACATTAAAAAWATAAAAAATTTAATAAATATATTATTTTAAGTTATAAATTCACTTCATTTTTTTAAATTAAAAAACGTGTAAAATATAATATATGTTAAATATTGTAAAATAATAATTCTACAGAATTTATAACAATAAATGTTAAATAATTAATTAATATTGAACTAAATTGTAATTATCACTAATTTATAAATATATTTGAACAATCTCTTTTAAATTGGGATTTAATTTCTAAATCTACTGCGAGAATAGAGTTTTTGTTTTTCTCTTTTTTTAGATTTCTGTTTCTTAAATCACCAATCAAATCACCATTAATTTCTCTTTGTATTTGATAAATTAATATATGAGTTTATATAAATTTAGAACAATATTTCATAAAAGGAGTGAATTTGCAATTACATTTAGGCAAAAAAAGAAATGCATTTTATCTATCTAACTAAAATGGATAGTAAGGCTCTAAGTCCGACCTAGGCATGTATTTTTTTTTAGCACAAACTTACAACTTCTTGATTTGAAATATATGTCAATTATTGCTGAGTTATGCTCGCTTTGACCGATCTAGACATGTATTAGAACCACGTCAATCAACTCACGCAGTCATTAGATGAGCATATACTAGGTGACAAAGTAACAACAATGATCAAAAGGATTATTTTTCTAAAACCTAAAGACTAAAATATTGTCAAAGCGAACATAGTTCAGCAATATTTGACATATATCAACCAAGAGATTGTGAGTTCGATCCTCATCCCACATGTTGACTAAAAAAACAAAGACTAAAATATTAAATATACATTTCAAAAGTCTAGCAACCAAAATAGTTATATTTTAAAGTCGAGGGATTAAAATAAATATTTAAATTTTTTAGGCAAAAATAAAATAACCAAAATATAACCTAGGTTAAATTACAAGTATCTAATACGTCTACAAGTCTCAAATTTTGTACCTAATACATCATTGAACTTTAAAAGTATTAATATATTCACAAACTCACAATTTTCTACCTAACAGACTCTCAATCTATTCAACATTTTATAAAATTCACAAATTTATTTTAAATAGAGATTCAAGCTAAGATAATGAATCTCGTTCGACAGTAATTAACATGTACCCAGAGGTGGAATGTTAGTAAAAATGCCAAGATGCAACTCCCAAGATTTTTATCATCACATCACAAGTGACTCTAAGTCCAATCAATTATTGAAACCCTAAAATAAAGTAGAGGCCCAAGTTCTCCTGTCGACGCGGGCAAGGTCCGCGATTTGGGCTTCATCGCGGGCGAGGTCCATAGTACGATTACCATCATACCATCTTCTTCCCAGTCCCACTACAAGTTTACAACTACAACAACATGTCGACTTACACTACTGAGATTCAACAAGCCTCTCTTCCATTTGACACCTTCCTCTCTGCAAATTCAACAGCTTCCCTTGTTTCAGAGTTCCAACATTATAGACGAAGCTCTTCAAGGCAGACATTTAATTTAATGGCCTTCTCCTAAACTCTTCACCTTTTCGCTCCTAGAAAAAGAAACTTCCGTCTCCGATTGGGATCGTGAAACGAAGAAAAAGTTGTGGTTGGTTACTGGTTAATCGTCTGAGTCCTAATGGGTTTCTCGGTTGAAAAATAGCTGATTTCATCTCATAATTTGAGGTGATGGATGATGGAATCCATGGCTGAAAACCCTAAAATTGGTCTCGGAAACCCTCCCAAAATTCCCCCTGGTTTTTCGCCTCCGTCGCGTCCGCCGGCCCAATCCCCACGCTTCCCTCTGCATCTCGACGAGCCTGACGTATCCCCGGCTGCGAAAACCGTCTGCGAAGTACTGATCAGAGCCTCGCCGAAGGATGTAGAAGCGGCGCTCGCCGCGACGGGAGTAGCTCCGTCGCCGGAGCTTGTCCAAGAAGTTCTGAGGCTGTCTTATAACTATCCCTCGTCGGCGATCAAGTTCTTCCGGTGGGCGGGGCAGCTGGCGCAGCAGTCGGCGTACTCGTGGAATCTGATGATTGATTTGCTGGGAAAGAATGAATTGTTTGACCAAATGTGGAACGCCATTCGAACGATGAGGAAAGAAAAGGTCCTTTCATTGCCAACCTTCGTGTCTGTTTTTGGGAGTTATTGTTCTGCTGGCAGATTCAAAGATGCGATGATGAGCTTTGAAGTGATGGACAGGTACGAAGTTGAGAAGGATGTTGTGGCAGTGAATTCTCTATTGAGTGCAATTTGCACCGAGGAAAATCAAACATCAAAGGCTTGGGAGTTCTTTGAGAAGAACAAAGAGAAGATTCCTGTGGATGGGGACTCATTCGCCATATTACTAGAAGGGTGGGAGAAAGAAGGCAATGTGGAGGAAGCCAAGGTTACATTTGGTGAAATGGTGAAAAGGGTCGGTTGGAATCCTCAAAATGTTTCAGCTTATGATGCATTTTTGATAACATTGGTTCGTGGGGGCCAATCTGGAGAGGCAATTGAGTTTCTTCTAGAAATGAAGAAGAATGGTTGCTTGCCAGGTTTGAAATTTCTATCCAATGCTCTTGATAGTCTCATTAAACAAAATGATGCAGACCATGCGATTATATTGTGGGATATAGTTGTGGGAAGTGGATTAGTTCCTAACCTGATCATGTACAATGCCATAATCGGACTGCTTAGCGAGAACGGTAAGATCGACGACTCGTTTCGTCTCTTGGATGCCATGGTCTTCCATGGTGCTTTTCCTAACTCCTTAACTTACAACCTGATCTTCAGCTGTTTGATTAAGACCAAGAAAGTTAGGGAAGCAAGTCAAATATTCAGGGAGATGGTAAAGAATGAGTGCCCTCCCACCCCTTCTAATTGTGCTGCTGCTATCTCAATGTTCTTTGATGGTTATGACCCTGAAACAGCCATTGATATATGGAACTTCATGGTTGAGAATCACATCAAGCCTATGGATGCAAGCGCAAATGCACTACTCATCGGCCTCTGCAACTTGGACCGGTTAACAGAGGTCAGGAGTTTCGCCGATGATATGCTTGATCGACGAATAGGAATATATGAATCTACTATGAAGATTTTGAAGAATGGTTTTTATCAGCAGAGAGGAAGCGTAAGAGAGAAATATGATAGTCTTTTGCGCAGGTGGAGATCCTCCTAAATTTTGTAGTATTACCCTCTCTTCAATTCCATTTATGACCAATGCTGTATTATATATTCATTCTTGGTGTTTTCACGAGATCAGCATCAGTGATCATTTTGAGGCAAGCAGAATTTACCTCTTCTACACAAATCAAATTAGCTTAACAATTTCACTTACTTCACTATGTCAGAAAACAATTTTACTTCTGTGTATACTGTTGCTCTATATTTGTCTCGTCTTCATTCTTAAGGTAGCTTGCAGTAAATTTAAATGATCTTCTTGTTAAAATGTAGTCTAAGTAGTGAACTAAACACATGGTATTTAAATGTTACTAGCTCTTTTGTCCTAGAATTGTTGGATAAATTTTAGTGGAATTACCTGTAGAATCACCCAGGTGTCAGAAAAGAACCTCCTCCATTTTCCTGAAAGCTGCTACACTTTAAATTTGAGATCAATCCTCTGTGCTCAAATTGGTGTTAGCGGGCAGAGCATAAGAGAAACAGCTGGAAAATTCCTGGTGTAAGTTTGGTATTTTACTTTCTAAAGCAAAGTATGTAAAGAGGGAAAAAACCAATTGCAATAATAGGTCCAATTACACTATGTATCATTCAGGTAATAGAATGAGGTACTTGAGAAGTCATCTAGTTTGATGTAAAATGGATTTCTGAAAACCTTCAAAAGAAAAAAGGGGGAAAACCAGGGTTGCGTCCAAAAATATTTTCAATTTTGATAAGTGTAAATAATTGTATGGTAAGAGATCGAACCATCAATCTTTAATTTATAGTATCTGAGCATTAGAGCATTAGAATTCAAATATTGTAGGTTTAATGGTTAACTGTTTTATTTCTACTAATATATGGAAATATAGAAAACAAACCTTCATTCTAAATGTTAAAAGTGTAGCCAGAATTGTAAAACATGTTAATATATCACAACAGAAAGAAACTTATTGAGTGTGATGTTAAGAACAGATGCAAATCTGACCATACTAGATATTTTCATCAATCTAAATAATACACATGATCATTATTATTAACATTCTCTTGTTTTAAGTGAGTGCAATACACTATTATCAGTACTATTAGGGAATTCAATAAAGAATCTGTCAAGTAAAATTGAAGGAAACCGTAACTCGACAAAGCTATGGATAAATTCTCGTATAATAAATATGCTCTAACAGCAGTTCTTTATTTTTAGATGCGTTAAAAGAAGGAAAGGAAGATACCAAAACCTTCGCCGCCCATCGCAGCAACTTTTTGATAAGTTTGCCTTCCTCAGTGCCTCTCCTCTGCCATAGCTAAAATTGAGCTCTGCAACACAACAAAAGTGGCAAAGAGTGAGATCTGCTGCTCAGTCCAAATATACCTTCACTTTTTTCCTTTTCCTCTTATCGTAAGTAGTTTATGAGAAATTGCATCGATCTCAAATGCCACCAAAGTTCCTATCCAGTCTAAAGCGACACACTCATCCCCTCATTTGGATTGCCGGCATAATCTGCGCCACCATAGCCCTCGCAGTGATAATCGGAGGCATCGTCATCTTCATCGGCTATGTGACGATCCGCCCCAGGGTGCCTTCAATCAGCGTAACCGACGGACATCTCGACAGAATCCGAAGCAGCAGAACCGGCTTGCTCGAAGTCCAGATGAAGATCGTCGTCCGAGCCGAGAATCAAAATGCCAAAGCACACGCAAGCTTCTCGCAGACCGATTTCGTCCTGATCTTCGACGGCATAGAGATCGCGTCGCTGGTGGCTCGCCGGCCGTTCAAAGTAAGCAAGATGAGTTACCTGGACTTGCACTTCTTAGTGGAATCGTCGGCGATTCCGCTGAATCCGACGCAGATGGATCATCTCAGCTGGTCGCTGAAGAGGAATTTGATGCAATTCGATCTGAAAGGAAGCTCGAGAACTCGATGGCGAGTCGGAGTTCTTGGACCGCTCAAATTTTGGTGCCGTTTGAACTGTCACCTCAGATTTCACCCGCGCAATGGAAGCTACGTTCCCGCGCCCTGTTCTTCCAAGGGCAAGTAATTCTGCAGAAAACTCAAAAAAGTTCAATTTTAATTTAAATCAAAATTTCTCCCCCGTTCGTGAAGATCGGATTAGTATAAAAAATATAATATATAAATATATAAATACATATAAATGTCAGAGTATTATTAGTCTTTTTTTTATTTGCATAAATAATGTTAGGTTTTAAATTATATTTTTGTCCCTATATTTTGCCATTTGCCTCGGTTCGTTCCTATATTTAATTTTTTTTTAGTTAAATTTTATTTTATTAACAATATTTGCTATTAGTGAACTTTTTTTTTATCATATTATAAATACAGGGTTAATTAATAGTTGAATTTACAACTTGATTTGATTTTGATAGAAAATTTAAGGTTAAAATAGTCCTTGTACTTTTACTTAAGTTTATTTATGCGAATATACTTTCTAAATATTCATTTTGGTTCGTGTATTTTTAATTTAAGTTCATTTTAGTCTTTGTATTTTTAAAATGTTATTTTTGGTCACTGTATTTTTAAAAAGTGGTCATTTTGTTCTCTATTTGCAAATTTTAATACGTTCTACACATAACGGAAATACTTTAATATAAAATCATTATTACATTTCAAAAAAAATATATTTAGTGTGTTGTGTCGAAGTTGTGATAGAAAAGAAAAATGAGATTAAAAATAAAATTAAGAAACCAAACTGGTCACTTTTGAAAAGTACATAGATCAAAACGAACATTTTGAAAGCACTAAAACTAAAATAAACCAAAGTTGAAAATACATGAACCAAACTGAACATTTTAGAAGTATATGGACCAAAATGAACCGTATGTGGACCAGAATAGTATTTTAGCCCAAATTTAGTGATGGTAAAAAAAACTACATATAAGTTTATAGGTTTAAATATCATCTTTATCTATAGATTTAAATATTATTTTAGTCCATATACTTTCAACTTTGGTTAATTTTAATCTATGTCATTTCAATTTTGATTCATTTTAGTTATTATTATAAAATAATTTGTTGTTGTTACTGTACTTTTAAAAATAATCATTATGGTTTCTATTTCATTGTTATTTAATATTTTTGAGTTTATCTTTCACTCACCAACTTTCTTAAAATATAAGCATATATTTATATTTGAATGTTTCCATTTTGTATAAATATGTGTGAAAAATTTACAAAGAGGGCCAAATTAGTCATTTTTCAAATGTACTCGGACGAAAACATACATTTTTAAAAGTATAATAACTAAAATAAACAAAAGTTGAAATAGAGTTTTACGAAACCATATTTATTTCTTGCAAAGTATGTGTTTTTTTTTTTTGTTAAAAAATATGTGGGCGGGGATTTGAACCTCTCCCCTTTTAGTTAATAATATATAGCTCAATCAATTTTGCTAGGCTCGGGTTGACCGAGGATGTGGTTTGAAACGCATTTGATTCACGTGTCCTTTTTTTTTTAGCCCACTTGACCTTGTTCAAATGTTGATATGAAACTCATAATCACTAATCATTCACTTAAACCAACGTATTATGTGGTCAAAACGAGCACGACTTAGCGGTAATTGGTATTTAGATTGACGTGACAGTATTTGAATAATTATGTTAATTAAATAAAGTCATCATTGTTTGAAATCTAGACTTAAGGAGCATAATTAATTAACCACATAAATTAGTAGGAGATAAAGATATATTACTAATGTTTTTGTTTCCTGTTTTTTCTTCTCGTTTCTTATTTATCAATATATAAAAACATATATGCGTTTGTTTATTTTATTTATTATTTTTTATTGAGAAAAGAAGCATAAACATGTTTTCTTATTTTCTAAACTTTTAAATTAAAAAAAAATAAAAGAATTAAATGAAATATTTATTCCGTATTTATTAGTTCACAATAATAAATTAATATTTTTATTTATGTTTTAGAAAATATTATAAACAAAAAAAATAAAATAATAAACTTGAATTTGTCGTTTTCAAAATTTCTACACAATTGTAAAACCATTTTTAACAAATTGAGAAACAATTACAAAACGTTTATGTTTATACAAAATTGAAAACAATAAAAATAATAAACAGAAAAATAAGATCGTTATTAAATGGGTCCTAAACGAATAAATTGAAGGTAAAATATAAGTCCAACGACATATAATATTTGAATCGAAGAATTGAGCTACCTTAAAAAAAATTATGATGAGATTTAAATTAAAATTAAAGTATTTATTCCAAAAAAATCCACTTTCACAAAAGAATTAAATTCGTTTGTAATTTTAGAAAGAAAAAATATTTAGGTGCTTAAGACTATTGAATTAAATTTGTTAGAAACTAAAAGAAGAAAAAATAGAAAAGAGATATTTTAGAAGTTTATAAAAAAAAAATGGGGAAAAAAAAGCGAAGAAAGCGGTTAAGCGGCGGGAGATTGGCTTAGTCAATGGTCAAGTCAAGTTTCCCTCCACACTGATTTCTGTCACCATTTCTTCAAACGTGTCGATCATGGAGTTGCCTCCGCTGCCACTTGCCATCTTCTCTTCAATTTCAGATTTCTCTCGCATGCATACTCTAACTCTGTCGCTCTCTGTGTCTCCCTTTTGCTGCGATTGCGATTCTCCCGTGCTACAATTCGCCTACAATCTCCTTTTTATCCGTAAGATTTTGATTCCTCGCATCGCTGTTACGAACTCGCTTTCATTAATTTTGTTTACTCATATTCTGTGCGTTGTTATTTCATCCATTATGCAATAGGAATGCTGCCTGTAGTCTAAATATGAGTAATCTCACTTTCCTCACTTAGGTTCGTCGGGTTTCTGTGTGATTTTAGCGGAATCCGATGGTGGAAGACGAGGAGGGAAGGGAAAATTGACGGGTCTTTGACAATCACGAGAAAATGTGTTGGAGAGGCTTTTTGGTGCGGGGTTTCTCATAATCTTCACTTGTCTTTTCTCACTGATCTTCAATGAACTCGGTTTTTTTTTTTTTTGTGTTAAATAATCAATAATATGGTTATTGATTATTTATTCTGAAGAAGATTCTTTAGTTGATTTGCAGAAGGAATTTGGTTTCATAGTTCCTCGATGCTGGTTTCTTCTCCTGTCTTTTATGGTAGTCTTCTCTAAAGGGAGCTTCACAGGACAGCAGTTTATCGAATGCTCCAATTCCAAATGTTAAGACCCAATTAAGAAAAGTGTTCATTATCTTTTTGTTCTCAAGTTCTTTTCATCATGAGATTCCGGGACAGACTGTGAAGTAATTTCCTCTACTACATAATCTCATGAATGGCTTTTGAGGAAATTTTGATGCTAACTTTTTATCTGCATGAATGATATCAAGGTTTATTATATCACTTTCATGGCGCCTGTTTATTGAAGGGATTTTTTTGTTATGCAGAACTGTGATTCAATAAATTCTGGTTACAGCCTTCGAGACAGTCATTGGCATGTAGTTCAGCAAGAAAAGTAGTGCTACTGGTGGGCTCTATGGCTTTGCTTTCCGAGTTTCTTAATGTCACAATATTAGTGTTCACGAGGCCTTTCTCGTATTTCATGCATGCTTGTTCTGTTATCTTGAAAATCTCTATTATTGTTGTTCTTACTTGGTGGGAGCTGTTGAAGACCTCGATCAATGTTCACTTGAATATATTTTGGACAATTTTGATGTGGGTAATTGCGTTTGTCTCTCTTCCTGGACGAATTTTAGCTGCTTTACAGAGGGAAAGGCAGGTTAGCCCTCCAGCCCGCCCGGCTTATTTTTTTTTTATTGCATATTGTTCTTGTTCAATGACGATGTCTTGGCTTGAGTTTCTGCGTCTTTCTTTTCTTGGTTTGGGATTCTAGATTTCTCTCAGAAAATGTGCGCAAAGAAACATATTCTTCAACTTACAGTAGTAAAGCAGGATGAAATTATAGACAATTAGTTTAGTTTATCAATTTAGTTGAATTGTTAATTTTAGTTGATTAATTTGTCAATTATTTTCGTGTAGATAGCCTCATTTAGGTCAGGGGACCTTTTAAACTTTTCATCAATGAAATTATGAGTATTTTCTTTCCTGATTTCCTGCCTACTACCGGGTTCCAAGTATCCACTTAAGACAGATTTTGGTCATTTGGTTTGGCATTTGATAATGATTGATTTTATGCAGCTGCGACAAGATTTGCAATTTCTGGAAATTGAGTTGGATAATGTTTTGTGGGAAGGAAAGGAGCTTCAAAAACATTTCCAGGCTGCTATGAAAGAGCAGAAGATGATGGAATTGATGTTAGATGAATTGGAAATGATACATGAAAAGGCAACCAACAAAATTGCACTCTTAGAAAGTGAGGTAATGACTTGCCCCATCTCCTTCAAGTTTTAGCTCCTGTACTAAATGTCATAAATTACGGTGTGGAAGATTGAAACTGAGAGCATAATAAGGAAGTGGAAGGAGAAATTTATGCAGTTGCTAAAGGAGAGGTTGAACTCTGACATCAAAACCTTAGTTTACATTTAATGAGTTAAAGACCTTCATATCTGTCAAGAACTTGGTGACACACTTCTTGTACAGTGTATTAATAAGTGCACTCTCTCTCTCTCTCTCACACACACATACACTGGCACACAAAGTTGCTATGTTGCTTTTTTCACTTTAATGTACCTTTTAATATGTTAGGATGTCCTGCAACAGTGTTTCCAGTTCTGTTGTCGTATGCTCCATGTGCAACCTGTTCGAGTGACTATTATTTCTCTTAGAATGATACCAATTTGAAGTTGGGTTGATGTTCAAAAAACATAGATGTAAATAAATTCTTAGATAGGAAAATATCGTTTTTACTCTTTAGGTTGAGGACAGTCTTAAAAAACCACCAAGAAAGCTTAACTTATGTAAATCATGTGCTTTTGATTACAATGCTAGTTAGCTTTGATGTTCCAAGTAATTACCTACACATGTTTGGCATGAAGCCAAGTGAATTGTCCGTTCATAATTTTACAACAAAAAATGACTGTACAGGGGTTCATACTAGTTTGTTCTTTCATCACTTAAATTTATACAAATCATACTTTGATCCGTATGCTTTTAAGTTAGACCAAAGCACCTCCTTTAAATTGTTACATGGTTGCTTTGGAAGTTCTGCTGTGTCACAAGTTTAACTGCAAAGGGAGGCTCCTGCAGCCACATAATTTCACTATGGTGTGAATTAAGATTACTTTTGTACAGAGATCCTCTGAGTTTTGCTGATAAATTATGATATAGCTCATTTTTAAAGTATTTCTGGACTTCTCACTAAAATCCTGTACTACAACCGTATGCATCATTCTTCATAATCTGCTATGTAATGGGTTTTTTTCCACCAAGGTTATGTAAGGAGTTAAAGCCAATTTTAGCTATCTTGTGTAGGGAAAGAGGAAAGACGTGGCCATGAAGTAAATAGGATGAAATAATGTCAAATTTTCAGCAAAATGTTCCATTTTATGTTGATGATTACATTATAGCCTTGACTGTCGAGTTCTCTTGTACTTTTAGTATCCTTTTGCTGCTTTGAAGTTGTGTCATATGATAATAATGGGTTGGCAATATCTCTTGCATCAAATGAACCATTTGCCTTATTTCCATCCAACAGGTGCAGAATTTGAGAAATGAAAAACTTCGAGGGCAAGAAATCAAGGGTAAGGCGTATTGGAGCTTAAAGGGCCCTGCACAAAAAACTGGCAGAGTTGACAACACTGACATTTCCCATGGCATCTCATCACGTTCATCCAGCTATAGTGGCAGCAGCGTTATCCAAGACCTCATTCAGAGTGATGCTTGGAAAGATGGTAACATATCTAATACAAAGTTGATCAAAATTTTAGAATCCGGGTTAAAATCTGACGTAGTTATCCACCCTCCTACTTCTGAAATCCTATCAAAAGATGAAGATATCGGCGAAATTCTTGACAAACAAAGAGAGGTTGCGGTTTCTCGAAGTCTATTCAGTACCATATTGTCACTTTTGGTTGGAGTGGTTATATGGGAAGCTGAAGAGTCTCACTTGTGCCTCATAGTGGCTCTCTTGTCCGTGGTTAGCATCTCACTGAAGAGTGTAGTTGAGTTTTTCACGACTATTAAGAATAAACCTGCTTTGGATGCTGTTGCACTTTTGAGCGTCAACTGTTTTGTACTTGGAATTCTTGCTTACCCTACACTGCCAACAATTGCTGGTTTACTTGCTCCTCTGGCCTCAAGGTTTGTTGGAAACTGAACCACTTTGCCCGGAAAGTCGAGAGGTACATCACCTTTTTCCACTAGACATTAGATTATGGAACTTTATTTTCTAGACGTGAATCTCCTTTGTAGCATGTGATATATAGGGGTTTTTAAGTTGCTTATTCATCTTTACCATAATCTCGATGTTAATTTCCATCTATGTCAAAAAAATAAGATGTAAATTTCCATTTGTGAGAGTTTTATGTATAAAGGGGGGGTATGCTACATATTTCATTTAGATCAAGCTGAAAAATTTTGATACTTGAGGATGGGAAGGATGTAAACTTTTTTTTTTTTTTTTAAACTTGTCGATATGTAAGATTTTCTACCTGAATATAACGTATTAGTCCTCTTGCTGACTACGATTGATCCATTTTCATCTCTTTCCAAGTTTTATGAAATGGGAAGTCCAAAATTATGGGTCATCATATTTGGGGTCTTATATGATTTAAAACCAAGTATTGGGCTCTATCATTAGAAAGCCGTGGGTCTCTAACCTTTGTGGTCCTAATAGTAGTCACATCAACCTTTTTTAAATAAAGGAAAGAAATATCCAACCACTTCGTCTTGCGAAGGGGTGTATTTAGAGCCCTCTTCGGCACCAAGACCCTTTAGGGGTAGAGTGGCAAGTCAGCTTGTTTTTGCTTGAATAAGGTTGAATGGTCATGGTCGAAGGCAAATTGCAGAGGATCCAGTTCCATGTTGCAGTGGAAATTATCTTAGCAAGGGCTGTCTAGAGATTGTTTTTGAAAAATAGTTTTCTGGCCTTTGTACTTTGGTATTTTAGAGGGTAGAAGGATTTCAATGAAACCAACTATTTATTTAAGAAGTATAGAATGCTATCTATCACAAATCTTTTGGAGTTGTTTACTAGTAGCCTTCACGGGTCGGGTCGGGTCGGGTCGGGTGGTTCTGTGTGGCCACTCCATATCCAAACCTAATGGAAACTTGAAATTGTTGTTAAAATCGTTTTGAATGGAAGGACAAATGTATGGCTGGGGGCTGCTCATTGGATAAAGTCGACAGTTCTTGTCTTAAGCTTTACACTAAAGTGGATTCTGCTTAATTTAGCCCTGTTCTTTGATGGATTGTTCTTGGCTCATTTACTCTTGTGAATTGGTTGGCCGACTTGTCGGCTCAAATGCTATGGGGACCAGCATTGATTGTGTGTGTGTGTGTATATATAATGTTGCTAGTTGCTTGCTATTAGCACAATAAGAGAGAGAATTTGTTGATGCTTTGAATTATTGGTAGAGTTGAAGTTGAAGTGTCGTCATCAGTCAGCTGTTTAACTTTTTTATTAGATTTTTTCTTTGATGGTGATGCTTTGCTAGACAGATATTTTCTTTCGTTTAAATTTGAATACTGTCGAATTATTAATGCATATTTTATGGGGTTAATTTTGTCATTCTGTTTTTGAAATATGTGTCATTCTTTAATTTCATTTCTTTAATGTTTTAAAACCTTTCATTTAAATACACCTCTCTTGATTGGTCCTAATTGATTTGTTAATGATCGATAAAATAAGTGACCTAATAAGAGTTTATAATTGACATAAGCTTCTCCGAGATGGAAGTTCACTAATATTTGTACGTCTTTATACGTTGGGTGGGGATTTATTATTATTATTTTTCTGGGTTGCTGTTTTTTTTTCTTTTTAATTTAGTCCACTTTTTCATTTGAGTCTTAATCACTACACTCTTTTTACGCTGCTTACTTAAGGTTTTAAATGTTGATGTCGATGGAAATGTCGAGGTCTCAATTTTATGAAATGTCGATGTAAGATGGAAAAGTTAGGGATTAAAGTGAAAAAAACATTCATACTCAAGGGCTAAAACATAGATTTTACAAGGGGGATTGGGTCCTAGGACATAAATCTCATTTAATTAGAAGGAAAAAATTTCTCAAAAGGTATTATTGCTGCATGTTTAAATGTTACCTTGCTGTCTTGCCTATTTGGACTTGATTGAAATTTTTGGAATATGTTATATCTTTGCTAATTTGCTCATTAGGAAATAATTTGAAATTTCTTGAAATATTATTGGTGATGGATTACAATTTTTTTTTTTTTTGTCAACCATATTATTGAGAGAGAAGGATGGAAATCTAATAATACTAGATTGCCTGTCCATATCAAATAAGAATATTTACTGTTACCCATTTAAAAGAAGGGATAAGAACAATGGCAAAAAGAAAGGTCTTGTATAAAGGGACATGCTCCATTTCAAGAAAGTTCCTTTTATTAAAATAGGGACCAGCTTGATGCCAAATTGCTTTGAATTTGCTCTTGCTGTTCTTTTATTTTATTTTTTTTCTATTATTTTTTAATACCATTATAGTCGATGTTACTTTTGGTTCTAAAGTGATGATTTAGTACCAAGTTAGGAATTAATGAAGCGTTTCAGTGTTTTCAAATTTGAGTTCGAGTATAGTGCTGCTTGTTTAAAATTTGTGTTGTTTGTTGTTTAAATTTAATAAGGTTTTTATATAAGTTGATTGGTAAAATATTGAGAGATCAATGTGTTTTTTCAGTACTTTATGATAAAAATTGATAAACGGACTAAATTGTTATAAATTTATAATAATTTTAAATTTTATGGACTAAATTATATTACATACTACCACTTTTAGACTACAGTGGAGTCCATGTTTCAGTGAAAGTATAGAGATTATTATGTTATCTATAATTGGCTGGAGAAGCCTATTCTTCAAAATATTAAATAATAAATATAGCTTTTTTTTAGATTAAACAGTGTTGTTTTTTTAATAGGAAAATCACGGGTTGATTTTAATAATTATGGACATCTTTATTTTATGTAATAATTGAGGTATTGTTTTTTTTTTTAACACAAATAATTGAGGTATTGTTAATCTATATGATATTCGACTTTCTAGTGTTAATAAGTCAAACAAAGGAGTGATGTATAAGGGTTGTACCCAAAAAAAAGTGTGATGTTTGAGGATTATTTTTAAGTTGTTTTTCAGGTACTATTAATCAACGGAAAATTTTAATTTAACACTTTGTCTATTTTCATTAGATATTTTTATCTATTTACTAAAAAAAAAAATTATATGCATTATACAAGGGTTAAATGAATCCATCGATAAATTTTAATTTATTTAAAAATGGTAAAATGTTTTTATCTTTTTTTTTTCCAGAAATTCATCGATATAAAATTAAAATTGAAAACTCGATATTTTTATCAACTTCGGTAATATTGTCTTAATAATAGTCCCAACAAAATTTACTATGTCTTCCATTCTTGAGTTATTTTTATATTTATTTTCATCTCAGTAAACAATTAAATAATAGTTAATTTTAAATGAAGGGCATTTATTTTTTGAAAATCGATCAAATGAATTGTTTAATTATAAGTTACATATGTTTATAATAAAATATTGGTTGAATATGGTTCATATTTGGTTGGTAGGGTTGAGTAATGGGAGATTTTATTAAAGTATAATGGCCCCAAATTCCAAACACACAGAGACTGAAGAGTCAATATGTAAAATAATAATAATAATTGGGACAGAAATTGCAATGTGAATTGCTTGACAAATTCCATCACATTATTCAGAAACCTTTTCAAAGTCATCATGTTGTTTTCCAATTTTTCATTATAAGTATTTTTGACTATTTCATTTAATATCTTCTATAAAAATAATTCATTATAAACAAAATCGTATCTGTTTTCTTTTATTTTATTTTTTTGACTGGTCAAATTATTATAATTGTTTATGTCGTTTCTTAGTATTTTCTTGCCAAATTAATCCGCGTTCAAATGGTGATATTATATTATAGAAAGAGTATTCCCTACGATATTTATGTTAAACTATTTGTATCTTTTACATTTTTTTCGAGTATCCCGATCGAACTTACAATCGAGATAGAGTTATGTTCACTTTGACGGTACGTTTTACATTTTTAAATGCGTAGATATGGGTTATTATGATAGATTTAAAATTAATGGTTTAGTTCTCGATTTCTTAAAAATGATTCTAAATTGTTGCTAGTGTCACTCATGAAATTTGCGTTTGTTGATGTGTCAATAATGATGGTTTTCCAAGTTTAAATGGTGACATTATCCATGATATTCTCTGTCTTTTTCCTTTTTAACTTAAATGCTATATCATTCAAAATTAAATTTCACTATGACACTAACATCAGTTTAATTTTAGAGACATTTTATGACTATTTCTTGAAGGTAGGAGACTCTAAACTCTTAGTTTGATACATGAACCAAATGAAAACTTATCTTAATTATATTTCATTCTATAATATATTGTTTTTAAATAGTTTCTCTTCTCTCTTTTTTCCCCAACTTTTTATTTTTTACCCCTTTTTAAAATTTTTTATTTGTTTGTGTATCATGTCAAAAGTAAATCTTCCCAAACAAACAAAATTAGCATATTGAGATTTAATAGTTATGAAAGTGGCAAAAAATCCATTAAACAATTTTCTTAAACATTAAATTATTGTATATGTCAACACCTGCCAAAATATCAAAGTCTCAATTATGCCACATCATTTCATTTGAAACACAAAATAAAGTTTCAATACCACAATTTCTTCATTGAAAATTGTGTTGCTAAGCATGTAAAATAATGATAGAGAAAAAAAAAAAGTCATGCACTACCATTGGGTTAGGTATTGACCATATTATTTGATTGAATTACCTTTTTTTTCCTTAATTTATATTATTGGAATAATTACACCATTTGTTAAGTCCAAAATTCTCATTCATACAATACAAGAATATATCTCAAGCTCAATTCTTGTATAGGCATYCAAGTCCAATTAAATTTGAAGTAATTTAATATGTATATTTCTTTATTTCTTTGCATATCGTATAATAGAAACCCGATTAAAAAGTTGGAGACTTTAGTAATTTTGTGAGTTTGATACCATTGGATTCGAATCGAAGTATTGACTTTTGCGATGATAATAAGCACCTTATATGAGCTATTTTCGGATTGATTCTAAAACCTTTATTTTAAGTAAAATTGTAAAAATCAAATTAAAAAAACTAAAGAGCTTTTGTTAGTTCGACCATTGCGTTGGATATCAAGAATGGTAATAAGTGTTTTATCTACTGAGCTGTGTTCGAATTAATTTTGGTTTATTTAACTCAACCATTGCGTTTGATCTAAGTATCGATTCTTTGAACTATAATAAGTAGTGCCTTGTCTATTAGGCTATGTTCGAATTGACTTCAGAATCCCCGTTTTAAGTTGTATGCATGTGATTGTTTTCACATGTTACCAATCTTACCTTACCGCCTATGAAAATTGGTGTACAAACCTTAAAAGTATAAATAAAATAAAATAAAATAATTTGATTTGAGAATAATTTCTTTAAAACGAACCTTGGATTTAATATTTATC